GGTCCTGTCCCCCCTCCTATTTAACATCTACATGAAGCCCCTGGGTGAGATCATTCGTCAGCACGGGATTAAATACCATCAATATGCGGACGATACGCAATTGTATCTCTCCATCCTGTGCCAGCTCAGTGTAGCGGTGGACGTGATGTGCTGATGCCTGGAAGCTGTCAGGATCTGGATGGGAGTGAACAAATTTACACTCAATCCTGACAAGACCGAGTGGCTGTGGATGTTGCCCGCGAAAGACAGTCCTGATAATCCATCCTTAATCCTGAGGGGTGAGAATTTACACCCTTCAGAGAGGGCCCACAACGTGGGGGTCTTCCTGGATCCACAGCTGACATTGGAACACCATCTGTCGGCTGTGACCAGGGGGGGGGGCTTTGCCCAGGTTCGCCTGGTGCATCAGTTGCAGCCCTATTTGGACCGGGAGGCACTTCAAACGGTCACTCATGCCCTCGTCACCTCAAGGCTAGACTACTGTAATGCGCTCTACATGGGGCTGCCCCTGAAAAGCGTTCGGAGACTACAATTAGTCCAGAATGCAGCCGCGCGAGCGATATTGGGTGTACCAAGATACACCCACATTACACCTATCCTCCGCGAGCTGCACTGGCTTCCTATTGGTCTCCGATCGCAATTCAAGGTGCTTGTCATTACATTTAAAGCCCTACATGGCTTAGGACCAGGATACCTGCAAGACCGCCTACCTCCCAACGGCCGGTGAGATCACACAGGGTGGGCCTCCTTCAGGTGCTGTCAGCCAGGCAGTGTCAGCTGGCGGCTCCCTGGAGGAGGGCCTTCTCTGTGGCCGCTCCGACTCTTTGGAATCAACTACCCCCAGAGATCTGGACCTTACCCACTCTCATGGCCTTCCGAAAAACCATTAAAACCTGGCTATTCTGGCAGGCCTGGGGCTGTTGACCTACTTACTGAGGTTCAGCCCCAATCAGACTGGGTGCGTGGTGATGCTTTTTAAATTGTTTTTATTTTTTTCTACTAATTACTTTCTTTTGTTCTGTAAGCCGCCCGGAGTCCTCCGGGATTGGGCGGCCTATAAATCCATTAAATGAAATGAAATGAAATGAATTGCAAAAGGCAGCTTTACTGGGAGAAGCATATGTCCTGCAATACCTTTAATAATAGTAAACAATAATATCTGCCTATTCCAGGTTCTTGGGGAGGATTTGATACACGAACAAAAATGTCACATCCAGTTTAAACGCCTGGCTGTCTGTGCAACTAATCACAATAATCAATCTTGTGATCAATCAATCAATCAAAAAGTTTTGATTATGTTGCATTATATAAAAAACACTTTCAGTTAAAAGCCATTGGGATGAGCTTTTAATTTTGGAACTAAAGTGTGTGTGTGGGGGGGAATAGTCAGGGGCCTGTATAGTGTAATGATGTCAATCTAAGCTTGGGAAGACAGATTTAGCCACAGAAATTTCAAAGAAAGCTTTTTAAAAAAATTACTCTCTCTTAGTTTAACCAATGATTTCATGCTATGAGGGTAAAACAAAAGAAACGATCTCTATTATGGTGTGCTTTGCTTCTGGAGAATAAACAGAATATCCATCTATAAATAGATTTAATCCTTAGCTGCAGCTCTCACCTGTCAAGTTCCTATATGAGTTAGACTTGCTGGTTCTATGATATGTGAGCTAAGTACTTAATTGCATGTATATCAATTGATGAATACTTACAGTTGCCTGAGGATACTTGGAATGTTAAGCATTCAAGTCTAGACTGGGTTGGATTTCCTGTAGCCAGCAGATTTTTAAGTAAAAACCTAGCCCAACTCTCTTAGCTACATAAACTGTTGCCTTACAAATCAACATGTAGGAGATACCAGGAATGCCCATATTGATACATTCTCATTTGCTCTCTCTCTCTCTCTCCCCGCTCTCTCTCACCCCCCCTCTCTCTCACGCACACAGAGGAAGTGGGGTGGTTTCGCATGCTGCCTGCATCCCATCGATGAAGCTTCACTTATTTGAGTGGCACAGTTTCTGGCATGCCACAGCCCAGTGCCAGTCCACAGACTGGGGATTAGGAACCCCTGGCTTGGAGCAGCCAGTCTCAGAATGTTTCTGGGATCCTGGGGCACATCATGATCCAATCAGGGGATCCACAAAGTAAAGTAAGTGAACTTTCTGTTTCTAATTTCTAATGCAATAAATATCAATAGATATAACTCACATGAATCAACGCCTTTTCATGTCCTCCGTTATTTTTAACAATGTAGACAAACATTGTCTTGTGTGCAAAATGTTTGAGAATCAGTGACTTAGAGGTAAATGCGAAAGAAGGCAGGTCAAAAGCAAGCAGGATGCTCTTAATTGCTACCTAATGTTGAGAACTTAATAAAGTCAATATTACTCTAGCTGTAAACAAAGGAATATTAAACAGAAAGCTTTCCAGCAACTTTCTTGCGCAAGATTAAAGAACATCTATCTCAACAGCAGAGGCCTATCATTTTTGGATGGAAAAGATATGAGGAACTGAAAGAGAGCAATGGAGAATTTAGTGTCAGAGATGCCACAAGGGTATTGTGCATAAAGAAATGGAAAAGTAAATGACATAACATACACCATACCTCAATGACAAGTAAGGAACAGCACCAGTCTACCTCAATATCAGGACATGGTGTTGGCTTATCCTGAATCCCACGTATCAGAGATAAAATACCACTCCGTTTTACATCTACTCTACAAAAACACCAAAAATAAAAGAGGACAACATCAGTGTAGATCAGTGTTTTTCAAACCTGGAAACTTTCAGTTGTATGGACTTCAATTCCCAGAATTCCTCAGCCAAGAGTTTGAGAACAACAACAACTAGTGTAAATGATCGGTTCTCACCTGCCACAATGAAACCTCCAAAACTCTACTCACCATCACAGAAGTACGTTTTATTTTATCATTAAAATAAAAATAGATTTCGTCCTAAGCAGACTGCAACCAAGATTCAAAATGTTTAGTGTCAGCAGATATTCTTGCAATTCTACTAGTTTTGAGTCTTGGATGGAGAAGACTAATCTGGAATTAATGACATTAAGTAGAATATTGGTGATGGGCAGAAGGGGAATGGAGAAAGAAACGGAAAGATTTAAACTGAAATCTGATCATTCCCAAAGTCCTGCACTGCTTCTGAAGTTCACCTGCCAATTCCAACCCACTAGCACTGGAATTTCAGGCTAGTTTCTTGCCCTACTGGTGAAGCAAATAAAATTCTGAAGATAGCAGCCAAAATTGGAGTGGTACTGTTATTTCTAAGGTCCTAGATCGCTGGCTGGGGAATTCTGGGAGTTGAAGTCCGGACATCTTCAAGTTGCCAAGGTTGAGAAACACTGTCCTAGATTGTTCTTGTTATCCCTACTGGGCTCTAATACTCCCTGATTGGTTGGGCTGCATGACTGTTTTGACAATTTCTGATGAGTCCTGACTTGAAATGTAGGTCCTGTACTTTCCAATGTATGTCATGCAAACTGAGCGAGGGGGAAAATCTTTCATGAATGTCACTCTCATAAGTATATAGCTCAGGGGAAAATGCCTTAAAGAAACAAAAAGCCATGGAATCTAAAATATTAGGCACCCAGCAGTGTTTTATACACCAGTTGTTTCCTAATCTCAAAAACATCTGTTCATTTTTAGAAGTAAGTCTGAATACGGTTTATTTTACGAGGGGAGTAGACTGCCCCTTTTCAATTTCTTTTTCTTTTCTTTTTCAACCAATCACTGCATTTCTAAATTGATACATTTCTTCCCTTCTTCTTGCATGGATGAAATAATCATCCCTCACCGCAGCATTTATTGTTTAGAGTTAAAAGAAATATCCTTATGAGAAGTTCTTTTAAGCATGCTTTGGACAGAATATCTTATTTTCACCAAGAATACCAAAGCATTGAATGTACCCCCCAAAAAGTGAGGGACATTTACCTTGGGCAGAACATTTAGAATGAGAGAAAGTACAATGAAGAAATGTCAAAAAGAGTAAAGTTAACAAAACCTAAATGAAATCAACATATTCTCTGACAAGCTGACAGCCTAACAAGCTAATTACTGCAGTCATAATTAACACCTAGCAAAGCACAGCACCTTGAAGCAACTAGGAACCTGTTAAGCAAGAAGTTACACCTTAAAAGGAGCCCATTAACCTGAGGAGAAACACAGTACTTAAAGGGAATTACTCATAGCTTTAAAAACTTCAGTGAATAATGAACTAAGTATTGCCATACCAAGAAACACTTTATTATACAATCCTGGCATGTAGTGATATTATCACTTAGTACCTCATTGTGTTGCAGATTCCTTTAACTATTCTAACTTGATCACAAGTGGAGATAGGATACTGGGATACTTTTTAATCTCAGAAGATGAAATAAACTCCCATTTGGTCAATCATTTATTAGGAATAACCAAAAGAACTCCAAAAGTAAAGCTTGCATCTGTATGGGATGGAGTGACATTCTGGTTCACTTTAATTAGCTGTTGCCTAGTAAACTATGAATCCCTGCATTTGCACAGATGCTGGGATTTAATGTTTTTTTTTTCTAATTTTCTAATTAAGGCTATACAAGATGGTCCAATATACAATGACTGAAGAATTTCAAATCAGCACTGTTTCAAAACTGATCTGAAAGAATCGCTCTCATGTGAAAAGCTCAAAAGGTAAATAAATAAAATGAAAGAATAAAAGAGCATCTTGAATCTCACTGAAGATGGTAGAATTTGCTGAGGTGGTCAAATTGACTTGTTTGATTAGAGAAAGGACAACATGTTTATTGCTGATTGGGAAGCCCCTAATAGACCTGTTGTATAAAACAGGAAAAAAAATGACCTTATGGTTTATGGTTCCTAGGATTAAACAGGACAGATTGTAGAAAGAAAAAAGAAATGATGTAACTTTAGAAGTGCTTCAAGGGAAGGAAGGGTAGTCTGAACACGTTTCTGCAAAAGTAGAGCTGATGACTGCAGCGGAATCAAAAGCCAACAAATACACCGGCTGTTATCTATGTACAAGGAAAGGACTTGAAATCAACTGCAAATGCTCCAGACAATTGTCCTTTGCAAGGAGACTGCAAAATGGAATCCCTGGTGGGCTTAGAGCTCTGGAATAGCCACCTTGCTCAAACTGTGGTTGGTGACTTTGAAAGGACACTGGATGCTTCCTTTTCTAATTACTTTCAGTTGCTTTTCTAATTAACTTGTTAAGTTGGTATTTCATGTATTAGGAACCTTTGGATCAACATATTCTACAGCACCAAGCAAAGGTTTTTTTCAATCCTTGGCAAAAAAAAAAGTTTTAAAGAAGTTTAAAGAATTTTAAAAATTGAATGAACAGCAAAAGGCAATTAAAACTTTGATTTAAAAAAGGACTAAGGATTGAGTTAAATTTGAAATAGAATTTGGATTTACCCTTTCTATGGGAATACTTTAGCTTGAATCATTTTAAAAAATTGAATAAAATAAGACTTTAAAAATTGGACACTAGAGGGAACCAGAAAGAACTAAGGATTGTGATTAAAGAGGAACATTTACATTTTTCTTACAAATGCAGAATGAAGCAAAATATTTTAACATTGGATATATTGAAGGGTATTTTCGAACAATGGATTCAGAAGTTAATTTTAAGACTGTTTGTGTTAGATCGGCGGTAGAAATGACGAGGAGGCTTCTGAGGTAACCTTGAACCGTTTATTCGAGCAAGAACGTAACGAACATCAACTGTGAGTAGACCGGCACCTCTCCTTCGTCTGACAGCCTTTTATACTCGGCTGTCAGATAGTTTAGCCAATGGACTCGCGTATGACAGCCCGGCAACCAGCAGGCGCGTCTGATTGGCTAAGATGTGCCTGGCTGCCGCCGAGCTGTCATTCGTAAGTCCGAGGACTTACGAGGCTACAACAGTTTGCCTCTACATTGTGTTTAAAAGATGTTATGAAAGTAATAGGTTTTACTAAACATGATTAAGACTGGTTGGAAAGTAGATTTAAAAATGACATGATATAAATGACATGAAAAAGATGCTACATCTTGAATATGTAAAAGAAATCAGCTGGTGTCTTAATAATTAAAAGGGATAGACAAATAAGAAAGTAAGAGTACAATTGAGATGATTTTCCTATATTGGATTTTTTTTTTTAAATGTATGGCTTGTTTTTTCTTAAAGCTGATTTGAAGAATTTTGTGAGAAAGAATATAGAACAAAATGAAAAGAAATAAACTTCTAAAATATTATTTGGAGGAACTAAAGATCAGAATTGTCAAAAGTAAAAGGAAGGAATATAAAGTCTATTTACTTGGTCAAGGTTAACATAGATACATTGTTATATCTGGTAACCCTTAATGGGTTTTTGCTAACATTGACCAACTGACCAGCATGACTTTCAGACTTTGTTTATGGATAAGAGATGGGATATGGCAACAAAAAAAATCTCTAGTTGTTACTAAATTGTTTATATGTGTTGAGTTGAAGGAGAAAGTTTTACTGCTCTCAGCCTTAAACACTGAGAATATCATCTGAATCTATTAGTACCCTTTTCAGTTTGCCAAAAAGCACCATCTCCAATTATCTTGCATCTAACCAGTTCATGCTCTGTTGGTTTGTATAATCTTTCTTTAAAAGATAGCATGAAACTATAGTAGGTTGAACTTTTATTGCAGAGTGGCTAACCTTTTGCAGTCAAAGGCTGCATTTAAATTTTGTAGATGAATGAAAACTGTTAAGTAGGATGGGGTTTGGGGTATTTTCTATTTTTAACAATTTAGCCTCTCATCTTCTCACAGTAGGAAACTAGGTTTCTAAAAATCATGGTGAAAAGAGTCACAGAAAAGTGAGTGAGAAGCTCCAAATTGCTCATCTCCTCTATGATATGTGGAAAAAGCCTATGAGCTCTGAACTGAAACTAATGAAAACAAAGCTGATTCATGAAAGGTAGAAACACTCTATGTGAAAATATTCTGATAAGTGATTTGCATTGCTAGTATAAATAACCAAACAGAATGAGAATATATTCATAGTATCTGCTTTTAAAGACAGATGAGGATAACTATGCTCAGATGATAGAAAATCATTAAACTTGGATTTCTTTTGAAATGACAGGGGAGGAATGATTTTGTAGATTTTGCCATTATGGAATTCTGTAGATCAGCAATAATTGTGGAAAAGGATCTAGTTTTCTCCTACACAATATATTTTATTTCAATATTTGCAAATTCTTCCATATATACTCACCTATAACCCCCCTCCCCTTCCAGAAAAAAATAGAATTGGGATCAAGTTGTCTCTTCATTTTTAAGCCCTATGTTCAAGGAATATTTTTTCTCTTGTTGAGCCAACAGTTTAAAAAACCATACAAACTTTCTGAGGATGTTGAATTTTTCAGTGAGATATTTATAATATGTAATATTCAACATGACTTCCATTTTTTAAATTTGTTTTCTTTATTTGAAAGTGTTACATAAATGCTGAACCCTCATAATTGTGACTTTGGGTAGTAAACTACTAAGCCAACAATTTACTGTACTTAACTTAGATGGCACCTAAGTAAAATGACATATATTAACATTCTCCAACCTGGCTAGAAATACTAGGAATCGGAATATCAACAGCTTTAGAGGAAAACAGGTTTTTGAATACTAGTTATATCCTAAATCATCTCCTGCAAATGGAAGATATCTCTTATTTGCAATGGGATTGTATGAGAATTAAATTTTGATACTGGAAATGGTGTGTGTATGTGTGTGTGTGGGGAGAACAATTATTGTTTTTACTGGGACTGCAGGAGTATGAAAGGATAACTGGTGAAGTCTGTGTTTCTTTCCACTGCTAAGACCTTCACATGAATGCTCTAAGGATGTTCCAGTGGAGCAAATTCAGATTCTCAGTCACGTACAATATATATATAATGAGCATGAATCAAAAGAAATATATAACCTGTCAAGCTTGTAAAATTCAATGAAATACAGTAATTCTTATTTTTTGCATTGCTATTATTGCTTTGTCTAAATAACAATATTCACTGTGAAAAGTTTGGACATTTTAAGGATATTTTAGGATACATTATACATATCCTATTTTTGCAGATGATGTATTTTATGTAACTATAATACATTTTGACCTACAGGTTGTTCATCCAGCCTATGCCTATCTGTTTTTCATATTCCTGCAGCATAATAAAGTCATGCAAGACAGCCAGAGGAGGCTGCTGGATTTTGTGGCAGGAAACTCAGTTTTTAATCTTTGGTCAAGTGTGAAATTCTCTGGATGTCCTTGGGAAAGTTACTCAAGCTCATCGGAGTCCTCCTGACAGGTCAAAGGCCACTCCAAACTCCTCAGGGAAAAAGCAACACAGAGAGACAAGTCAAAATGCATGCCTGCAAAATGGATGTCTCGTAGGAAGCTCTATTAGCCATCTTCCTGAATTAGTTGCTGGCACTTGACTTCCACTCTCCACTTTTCAGAAAGTGATCAGATCATGGGTCAATGCAGGAGCTCTATTCAAAGCTAATTAGCACCAACTGACCTTTCTTTGCTTCCTGTGACAATAGCTGCATATGTCCCATTGAGAAAATTGGGTTACGGATGGAATTCAAGGATATTTAGATTAATCTGATGGTGTAATTCCTCATTCGCTCCACCACCCAGGGTATATGTCAATCAAAACATATTTGGGGCCATGTAAATTAATAATTAGAATCTGCATGAATATGAAAACTACAAAAGCATAACACATTAGCTATCAATAATTGTTTAACTAAGCACTGTGCATTTCCCCTCCCCCTACCGCCACATCTCTAGGCCAATGCTTTATCTAAAAATACTCTAATGAAGCAGAACCATCCAATTACTTGTTTCTTGGATGAATCTCTTATTAATGATCTTGCAGTGAAGGGGAAAAACATTAATTACTGGACACAGTGGGATCTTTTACATTCTGCTTAGTCTGGACAGCACCAATTAATAGCACAATTATTATCCACTAGTGTGGCAGGTTCACTAAGCAGAACTTCCAGCTGCTGATTGGGTGGGGAAAGTGAGACTGTTTTCCCACTGTGCTGATTCCTCACATGCAAGAGCTATTATGCTGCTAATGTAAGACCTCAATGTGGAAACCTAGATATATGATTTACCTGGTCCACACAAAAATTGATATCAGTACCAATATCTTAATGTCTTACAAAAACTAAAGCTCTTGAAAATATATGGAGAGAGAAAAACATTGAGAAAACTAGTTCTGGAGTATTTCATTATTGCAGACATGTCCAGATATTGGGATACTCATATTCCGCATGGTCAATAATAACAATCTTAGTTTTCAATTACTTTCTGGAGTTTTTGGCTTAAGAGTCTTCCTAACTATACCTAGAGATGCTGGGATTGAAGATGGACAATTATACATAGAAAATAAGAGTGTTGCTGTTGAGTGGCATGTGCTATTTAGGACAGTTTTTCATAGCCATGTTAATCTATATATCTACTGTCTTTAAGTTGATATAAAAGTATCTCTTAATTGTATATGCCCCATTGCTGACTGCATGAACTTTGCTGTAGTTCAGCAGTAAGTCTGGAAAGTATGCCGTCTTCATAGATTTAATGTGGGATAGTTCAAGGACAATAACTAGTAAATTCCTCGGGTTCTTTTCTCTGCCCATTGAGCATCTTTAGCAGAAGGGAGCAGAAGGGAAAGGAGCTCCTGTCCATAGAGTATGATGGGCTGGGGTCAGGGAACAAACAAATTATCTTTCCACATCATCTTGCTTACCAGAATTCATTTGTGGATTTTTATTTTGGCCCAAGGATCAATAGGGCAAATAGTCTATTGTGAGATGGGAGATTGATTGTCTTTCATTAAAAAAAATATTGCAACCTATGGGATAGTTTTTACCCATACATAGACTCTCCTGTTTCATACCAGTCTTGTCCTGCTATCCTGGTGTATCTGATTTATTTTTCTTTAGTATTATAGAGATTGAAAGTTCTTGTTGCGTGGCAGAAGGAAGACTGGAACTCATGGCAGGTCTACACCACAGAAGCTATGTGTCCAATTGCTCCTGCAGTCACAAACAAATTTGATGTAAAGGATAGTGCATGACAGAAGCTTGATTTTTAAAAAACGGAATATCAATCTTCCTGGAAATTAGTATTTCCATGTTAAAACACAGAAATCAAGGTTATACAAATCAGGTATGCAGTCTTTTTCTAACCAAGCCAAAGTAAAAGAGGATGCTTAGAAATTGTTTAAGGCACTTAAAATATTTGATTGTAAATGTGTTAACAGCAGCCAGAATTGTATTTGCAAAAAACTGGAAAAATGAAACAATACCAAAAGAGGAAGAAATCATTCGAAAAATAATGGACTGTGCCGAAATGAGTAAATTGACATTTGAAATTAGAGAGCAAGAGGATGAACAATTTTATAAGATATGGGACTTGTTTTATCAATGGCTAAGGGAAAAAAAAACAAAATTTTGGAAATGAAAAA